TGGGTCATAGGGGAGCTCTATGTGGAGTCTTTTGAGGAACCTCCATACTGCTTTCCAAAGTGGTTGAAAAAGTTTACACTCCCACCAACAATGCAGTAGGGTTCCCTTTTGGCCTTATGTCCCCAGAATCTGTTATTATTAGATTTCTTGATTATAGCCATTCTAACTGGGGTGAGGTGGAATCTCAATTTTGTTTTGATTTGCATTTCTTTTATGGCCAAAAAAGTTGAGCATTTCTTCATCTGTCTATTGGCCATTCTTATTTCCTCTTCAGAGAAGTTTCTCTTTAAGTCTTTAGCCCACGTATTTATTGGGCAGTTGTTTCTTTGAAGATTTGTTTTTGGGGGATTTAATTTTTTGAGTTCCAGGTATATTTTAGATATGAGACCCTTGTCCGTTGTATGGCTAGTGAAGATCTCCCAATCCATGGGCTTTCTATTGATCTTGCTAACTATGTCCTTTGCAATGCAGAAGCTCTGCAATTTCATGCAATCCCATTTGTCCAACCTTTCTTTGATTTGTTGTTTGGGGGTCTCTATTAAGAAAATTTCGGCCCGTGTCAAGGAGACCCAGGGTTTCTCCTATTCCATCCTGTAATGTTTTCAGAGTGTCTGCTTTGAATCCGAGGTCTTTGATCCTTTTGGAGTTGATTCTGGTGCAGGGTGATATATAAGGATCTAGCTTTAGTTTTCTACAAGTAGTTAACCAATTTTGCCAGCAACCTTTACTGAAGAGGGTGTCATTCTTCCATTCTATTCTTTTAGCTCCCTTATTGAAGATTAGATGGCTATTGGGTGGGTTGATTTCTGGGTTCTCAATTCTATTCCATTGGTCCTGAGGTATGTTCTTGTTCCAGTACCAAGCTGTCTTGATTTCTATAGCTTTACAGTAGAGTTTGAAATTTGGTATTGACATTCCTCCAGCACTGGTCTTTCTGTTAAGGATTGTTTTTGCTATTTGGGGTTTTTTATTGTTTCATATGAATTTTTGGATTGCCTCTTCTATTTCCTTGAAGAATGAAGCTGGAATATTGATAGGTATCATATTGAATTTGTAGATAGCCTTTGGAAGAATTGCAATTTTCATGATGTTGATCCTTCCAATCCAAGAGCATGGGAGGTTTTTCCACCTTCTAAATTATGGTTTGATTTCTTTTTTCAGGTTTTTAAAGTTTTCATCATAGAGGTCCTTCACTTCTTTGGTTAAGTTAATTCCTAGGTATTTTATTTTTTGTGGGGCTTTTACAAATGGAGTTGTTTTCCTGATTTTTTTTTTTGGGAAACCAGCTCACATTTAATTGTGACATTTAAAAATTGTACAAGTTTTTGACATCTGCTCTCCCACCCCATATTTAGTCTTCTAAAATGACAGGAAAACATCACCAGTCACAGGCTTAATGGGTTTAATAAGTTTACCTCTTCAGTTCCTATTTGCAGCACCCATAATCCTTTGAAATACCAGTCAACCTGGCAGTGGCCAACAGTAAATTTCCATTCTCCAGAGGAAAAGTTCAGTTTCTCTGAGCATTCTGTGTTGGAGTGGCACTTGTCCAGAACTGGTACCTCCCCATAGTTGGGGAACATTAAATGTACCAGTGAATAAAAGTTTTTCCCCTTCAAGGGGAAGAAAGAAAGTTATTCCTCAAAACAGCTAATCTGGCTATGAGATCTTTCCTTCTGTCTCATCTCTTCAGGCTCTTTTATTTATCTTTTTTTTTTCTTTTTTTGCAGTAGATCAAGAGAGACCAAAACCTAACCTGAGTTACAAGAAACAAGACAGTGATGGCTATAAAGGAAGTATCTAGGAGCAACTGAGATGCTCCTACACCTCCCCCACATCCAATTTATGGGCTTCACAGAAAACAACAAAAATAACAAATCCACAAAATACAACAGCTAGAATTACAAAATCCATTCATCCAAGGGTGCTGGAAGGCAGGAAGGAGAGGTGGGAGGGTAAATGGCACAGACAGGAAAATGAAGTAGTCAAACCATCCAGGCACGGGGGGCTGCAAATGCTAGAAAAGAGCTGTGGTCCTTTCAGACTCACGATGGTGGTAAAAATCCACATACTGGTGTCAAGATTCTGCCTTATGTGCACCAGAGACAAAAATTCAAACTCCACTAACAGAAGAGACTATGCAGAGGGCCCTTGGCAGAGTGGGTCCTGCCTTCCCTGGCAGGGGGAGGAGAACAGAGAAAAGAGCTGCCACAGCTTCCATCCAATCCCACCCATCCCTTCTGAACAGCAGGCGACTCAGTGGCCTGCAGCAGCCTTCAGTTTGGCGGGAGATGGATGCGGTGAAGGAAATTTCTCTGCAGAGATTGAGCTGCTCAGGGCAGATTGCAGGTAGACTGTCTTGTGGAAGAGTCTGTTGCTTAAGAAGACCACCAAGGAGAAGAGGCGCAACTGGAAAAGGTATGCTTTTCCAGGGGTCTTTGCTTCATTGGCGCTGATAATGAATAAAGGAAAGAGGATAGAGAAGAGGCAGCCACTAATAATGTATGAGGACTGCATTGCTGTGAGGAAAGCCAAGGGCAAACCAAATCCAAAGTAGTAAGGCCAGTTCCATTCTATGTTTGACAATCGCTGGTGCATTTCAATTCCTTTATTGAACCAACGATATTCAAAGCAGTACAGTGAGTAGAGAAGGGACATATGCAGCAGACTAACCAGCTGACCAACAAGATGAATGGGAAAGAGACTCACAAACATCCCCTGAATAAGGAAGAGAGCCTGAAGCAAAAGGTTGAAAAGCATATCAGCAATGATTTTGCTGACACTAGGGAATGGATGAGGCTTCCTCCCTGATACCTCAAATGCCAGGTCAGCTATATCTTGAAACCAAATGGCATTCACAACTTTGCTAAGCACAAACAGGGGGAGCACCCAAAGAGCACTGAAGATTGATGT